CTGATGATTCTCGGCGTCCTCATTTGCAGAGGTGTATTCATCTTCACAACATTCTCGTAGAGCCAGAGGAAATGGAATCAGAGAGTGAATCTGAAAATGAAGGAAAATAGATTATTAGTTGCGAAAGAGTCTGAAAGTATGTGGGAGGACTACCATCAGATAATATTAGATAAAATATTTTCGCAGGATCAGAGGAGAATTAGGTGTCTGATTTGATACTAACAGGGTTATTTCCTCTATATGGAGACCCTCTGCAGTTGGTCACCAACAATGGGCCTGAGAATGTGAATAGGATAATGAGAGAAATCCTGGTAAGCAGGAAAAAGATAGATGCACATGACCACTTCCCCTTATCACCCACAGAGCAATGCGAAACTGGAGAGATTTCAAAGAACACTAGGGGACATATTAATGAAACTGACGGAGAACGACAAAGAAAATTGGGATTTATATTTGACGCAGGCTTTGGCTGCCGTGAAGTTCATGCCGTATTATATGTTGTTTGGACGTGATGTGGTCTTGCCAGTAGACAATTTACTGAAACCTCGTAGGAAGTATATGGGGGTAGACTACCATCAGATAATTTTAGAGCACCAACATAAAATATTTTCGTAGGATCAGAGGAGAATATACGATCCGTGGACGATATGTTATGTCTTCATTACACTGAAGATAACACCATCAAGAAGTAGGATGTCGCTTGGAGTCAACGTTATCTTGCTGAAATAGTTAGTAAGCAGACAAGCTAGATCTATAACTCTCTACTTGTTTACTACTTTTACTGACGATTCTCGGCGTCAGTCTATATGTTTTTTGACAAGTTCAATCCTCTTCTGTAGAGGTGTATTCGTTTGCACATCTCTATCTTTCTACAGCCTGCGAAAATAATTTTCCTGACCAATATTTCCTCAGATTTTAATAATTTTTTTTTCTTATTTCTATAACGGCTTCTTTATTTTTTGGACCATTTTAAATTACAGAATTTTTCGGTCTGATAATCGCGTTATAAAAATTAATTTTGAATAATAAAAAAAAATAATTCATAAAAAAAATACTACAACTTGCATTAAGCATCTATTTCGTTTTGTGCGTTTCAATTTTCAATTCGCTAAATAATCCCAAATTTGCGGACTCCCTGCCCCAACAACTTAAGCCATTCCGATTGTCTTGGATCTAAGATAATCCTTTCATGTATCTAGTGTTCGATGTCCTCTCTGATCTGGTCATCCCATTACATAAGCAGTCTCTCACATGCTACTTTGTCAGGATTGTTGTATTTGTAAGCATCTGTACACAAAGCTTCGTTCTCCTCTTCTGATTACATGACCAAACCAGGCGGGAGTGCCACTAGCATACAAGAAGTTACAGAAAGTGGGAGTAAGAGTAAAGAGGCGTGAAAGAGGAAAGGATGAAGAGAAGGACGAGGAATAGCTCAAGGCCTCTGGAGATGTCGACTGACATCGCATTTGAATAGTTGGAAATTATAGCTATCAAGGAAGCAAGTAAGAGGAAGGGAGTTCCACAGACGGGAAGTGCGAGACATGAAGCTATTGGAGTAGAAGAGACAGCTACATCTAACTGTTTCGACAGTGAAAGAATAGATTGAGATGCTAACCTAGTGGCACGTTTAAATTCATGCAGTTTGGAAACTAGCGAAAATAGATCATCGGAGCAGTTACCGTGAATGTATTTGTAGAAAAGACGGAGGGAGGCGACGGAACCTCTGTAAGAGAGCGACTGTAAACGAGATGTCAGATCAGAGCTAGCCACATTGCATATCCGTCTCTGGATTTTATTAAACCTCATTTTATCTAATCAGGGTAATTATGTCAGTTTTCACATCTAGATTATTTTAAATATGGCAACCATTGAGATTCTGCCTGATATTTTCCCAAGCCATTGTTTTCGCGAACTAAAACCTCTACATGTCCTCTTTTCTCAGTGTCTAAATTTCATAGGCGTAAATTCCGATGGGGGATGATCAGATCAGAGTCTTGATGTAGCCTGGAGTGTGTAGAGCAGGCGGAAGTGAACAATGTCAAATCAAAGGAGCAAATGACAAAAATAAACACACTGCGCACGGGCTCCGCGCAGCCTTCTGGATTTGAAACATACTTCAAATTTTCAATTTAATGAAAATAAATAGCCAATAAACTCAGCTCCCGACAGTAAACAAACACAGGCCTCTGTAGCCTAATGATTAGCAAGCTGGTCTCGCTAGAACAATTACGACTGAGTAGTGAGTTCAATCGTCACTGGGCGCCCCATGCTTTCAGCCTTGTGCCACATCTAAGCTATACTTAGAAAATAACCATAAGACAAGAAAAAACATTCTTTCAACTCGGTAGAAGGACTGACTACAAAAAGAGATACGTGTCAGCCTCGACGTCTTATCTTTCTCATCAAAGCAACAGCGAACACCCTTTGATCTTGTCTTTCAACTCTACTTTCTCTCTTCCTCACCGAAAGACTATTCATGTTCATTTCCTTACAATCAAAGAGAACTTTCTAACTTTCATTTCATGATAAATAATTACAGTTAGAATTTATGCATCCTACGTTTAAATAAATATAATTTTATTTGAACACGCGACAATCTTTTCTCTCATTTTTTTATTCAAATGGCGACCCAAGAAATCTTTCCCCTACAAATGTCTTTTCTGCTACAGATATTTTCCTTCGGTCTACTAATAGCAGGTGAGGCAGGAGCTGTTCTTCGCTTCATCTCTAAATTAGCTGGATTAACTGATCCTACAAAGACCAAGTTTTTCAACATTTTCTAAGCTTCACCGTCGATTTGATTTTCATTGTGTCATATAAGTGTGGTCGATCATGTCTCTTTCGATTCATGACTGGCTAGGCAGAAGATATTCCCGCAGTAAGCTGCTGTGTCTTTCTACGGTAAGACTGATTGTCAACCAAGGCTACCTAGTCTGTCCTATTCAACTCATAGCTGGAGATGGAGGAATAGGGTTGGATTGATACATTTCCCCTTGGCTATTTGCTCGTAAGTGAACACAACGAATTCGTCTAGAAAGACCAAGTTTTTCAACATTTTCTAAGCTTCACCATCGATTTGATTTTCATCAGTCATTTGCTCAATTGTGTCATATAAGTATGGTCGATCATGTCTCTTTCGATTCATGACTGGCTAAGCAGAAGATATTCTCGCAGTAAGCTGCTGTGTCTTTCTACGATAAGAGTGATTGCCAACCAAGGCTAATAGATCCCTGTCTGTCCTCCTATTCAACTCATAGCTGGGGATAGAGAAGTAGGGATGGATTGATACTCTACCACTCGCCTCTTCAGCCCCTCAACTTCCGGCGTCTTCCTCTTTGGGTTGAGGCGCCCACTCGGTCTGAACCGAACTCAGGGGTAGCTGGCCGCACGCTCCCTGCGTACCCGTGAGTGTTCGACCGGTCACTGGCCAAGTTCCGCCTGCTGCCCACGTTGTGTTAGTTTTTAGATCCAGTAAGCGGGGTGTTGTCTATACGTTCACGGCCGATTGGGTATGTAGGCACGGCTGTGAGGGTGGGCAGTAGGAAAATTAGGATGTGGCAAACAAGGAAACAATATCCGCAGAAGCCGAACAACAATGGGTAAAATATTGATGTCTTTTATATAAGAAAACAACAACAGTAGAAAGTTTACAGAAAGGATGGAAAAGCAATTAACATAAGAACAGAGGACCACTCCTCTACCAATTATACCAACAGAGAGAGGTGTGTGTGTGTGATTAACTCGTTCCAAATCAACTTGGGAGGATATGTGACTCGTAATTCCAGCCCTACGTGGAAGTGTAGCTTTTCATTTGGTTGTCGTAAGTGACAAACGTTAAGTTTCAGCGACTTTTCAATGCGACTGCTACAACGACGATGATATTTCTTGAAGTCCTTATCTCTGACTCGCCACTGGACCGACTCACTGCAACGACAGTCTCTCTCTCTCTCTCTTTCTCTCTTTCTCTCTCTCTCTCTCTCTCTCTCTCTCAACGTCACTCTCGTCTAATGCCTAAGTCTCCCCAACTCAGCAAATCTCGCGTTTATATAGCAAACCGAAGGTTATAAGCCAGGTTGTTCACGCGCTTAACACGAGTGTCGCCATAAGCAAAGTTTAAATTCAGATCTATTTCAAATCTCTTAGTGGATAAAATTAATTAGTTCAATGTTCATTTCAATTGTCTTTTCGATGACCAAATTCAGCGGATACAACATATGTTTAGATCAGATTTCGCTAGCGGTAAACATACACTGATCTTACCTCCCCGGTCCAATTTACTTCAATATGTTTTTATCAAAAATATTATTTTCGTCTATTTTTTTTTTTTAATGACCCAAATTAAAGATCGCCTCCTGCCCTTTTGCATTTGTTTATAAACAAGTCCTCGCCAACCCGATTTCAAATTTATTCTTTATCCATCAGCCGTCTCAGGTTTCATATATCATTGTTCTAGATTCTTTCCTATTAATAGCACTGACACAGTTTGTAACTTTCACGGAAGATCGTGTTTTCCATCTTCAATCAATAAACGTTATATTTGCGTGTGTGCATTTATGTGCGTCAACCTCTCTCTGTTGCAATACATTTCCCCTTGGCTATTTGCTCGTCAGTGAACGCAACGAATTCATCTAGAACTCGAACTCGGCTCTCCGACTTCTCATTCCGAGCCGATATCGTACATCCTCATCGGTCATTATTGATTTAATTATTTTCACAAGAAAATATCAAGAACAGTAAAAAAAACAAAAAAAAACATGGGTAAACATAGACTTCGTGCCCATTAATAAACGGACTGTCAACAGGACGTGTTTTTCGTATGACACCGCTTTTAAAATAATAAACATTGCCGAAGAGTGAATCTTCTGCAATATTTATTGTTTTAAAAAACGTTTATTAGAACTGTACTAAAACCTAATCAAATGAAAGTGAATTTATATAATTAATGCCAATGTCAGTGTGTCAAACTTTTTCAATTAAAGGGACACGCCTATCAATCAATCTCCTTCTATATAATAAATGTCAATGTCAGTGTGTCACTGTGTCACACTTTTTCAATTAAAGGGTCACAACTCTCTAACTTTCAATAACACATGTCACAGAAATTTCCATTACTGCGATTGTTTTCGTCGATTTTTTTACATGATTTTTTGCGACGAATTATTTTGTACGATAACAAGTTTCATAAGTTGGAAATAAATTTTGGAATACAGTGAAACCCGGATATAAGTGAGTTATCGGGACCGGAGAAGAAGTCTCTTATATCCGGGTTTCTCTTATATCCGGGTTTGGTCTATTTTATATACATTAACACGGGCTCTAATTTGGGACCAGAGAAATCTCTCTTATATCGGGGTTTCTCTTATATCCGGGAATTTTAAACTGAAGATTTACTCAACGGGAGTCAAATAGGCATTTAAAATTCATATATTTGGCATATAAACTGGATTTGGCATTAAATAACCCACAGTGGTTGATATGCCATAAAACCCAAACAAATCAACGGGAGTCGATTGTTCTCGTTTCACTGCCCATGTCTAGTTCTTATTTTTCGTACTGTTCATTTATTGCTTGCTTTCTTACCACTGAGTCCAAGTACGCACTGTCCGGCCCAGGGTTACTATGTCACAAAATTAACGAATCAACTATTTAATCCACTAGACTATTGTCCCTTGGGACAATTTTCTGTGGAATACTTGCAGCCTTAACCCTAACCTGCCTGATGATGAGTACTGCTGCTACTGCTTGTCATGCTTCACTGCACTCACAGAAGCTTTTCTCTCTTTGTTACAGCTGCTGCTGCAGTTGAAGGCTTGCTGACATTTGTTTCTTTTTTTTTATTAACGGCTCCTATATTGTATTTGTTTCTATGCTAGACCGACAAAGGAGATTTTAATAGTCTAGTATATACTCTGATTCTTTTAGGCGTCTAACTCTCCAGTGTTCTTCCTTGTCCAGTATTTTCACTTGATTCCACAGGGACTACCATTTTCTTGCCATACATAATTAGCCATACCTGATTTCATTGTCTCAACTCTCACTACGGCTTTCCCATGCACCGAAAAAAAAATTGAAGTTGTTAAAAAGCATACATTTTCGGGGACCGATCGCTCTATACACAGAAATGTTTTTTTTTTTTTTTTCTGGAGGCGTTCATGCATTTTCGATTACCGTAACCTACTTGGTAAGCCTACATTTTCGCAGTACTTTAACAGTAAAGGTAATCTTCTTTCTTTCCGTTACTACAGGAAGGGCATAACGTAAATTACTATGTGTGACGCTTAAAGTCTACAAATACCTTATATAAATGAAAAATTAACAATGTTCTTTTTTTTCATTTCTCTAACTTTTTTTCATTTCTCTAACGTTGGCGGGAATTTACGTCACTGAGGTATTATTATTATTATTATTATTCTCCTCCTCTTTCGCCCTTAACTCCGGAAGGAGTCGTTGGGGCGAGCTGTCTACCACTCTTCTCTATCTCTCATGATCATGTGCCAGAAATGGGTCCCCGCGAATGGTTTCTAAACGAGGCGTGTATTCAGCGTTTTAACCTGGTGGAGCCCATCCCTCTCCAGGTTAGACCAGAGCCGATATCCTCCAACTAAGTGGCTCTCCTTGATCGCGAACACGTGGCTGTCGTTGTTCATTTTAATTCAAGTAGCTTTATTAACGGTATACTGTAATATTATCAATAGGAATCAGCAACATTGAGAAGCATTATGAAAAGAAGACCCCCCCCGCTGTTCACATATTGATTATACACAAAGTATTACGGTACATGCTACAGGAAGAAATTATTTACGACACACCAAAGAAAACAGTTTTACTGAACATTTATTAACTAAAAACCAACGAAACGAAAGTTTAATGCAAATTTGAGATAGGAAAAGTCTGTTTATTTGTTGACTAGCAGCATGGCCCGGCGTTGCCCGTGCTTGATTCAAAAATCGTACGACTCATACAGCAATCGCTATCACTTGACTTAAAATATTTTTGCCCTTCCTTGCCTTTAAAGGAGTGCCCTTAGCCGTGCTGATGTTGCTACATGCCTTACTTCTTGCCTATCTCACACTGCGAATTTTTTCTAACCTCTATACTAAACATTAAATCTGTTACGAAAAGAGAACTAAACAAAATGAATACAAAACGATCAGCTTTTAAAAAAAAAAAGGACTCGTACCTGGAAAAACCGAATGAAAAAAGAATGTTAACAACAAATACTTTTTCACACCCAACCAAGTTCTGCGGAATCAGAATCAATGTTGAGTTTAAGCAAGCGAATGAGCCAATTGGAGTAAAAAGTGCCATGCAGATTTAAATTTTTTTTCACACTTGTGACGAATGCAGCTATCGATTTTTTTTTGCATGCTAGTTAACATTCATGTCAGTCAGCTATTTGGCTCTCTCACTCTGGCCAATAGAATCTTCCTGACTATTCGTGGCAGCCAGCTATAGGGCTCCTCTGCCCAGTAGAAAATGGCCGCAAACTATATGAAAACTGCCGTTGAAGCATGAAAAAATCGATTATTTCCACTATCGATGGGAGTTAGAAATGCAAAATCGGTCTTGGCCTTCCCTGCTAACTTGGAGCATGTGCATGTAAATTTTGGTGCAAATCCGTCGAAAATTGCGCCCGTGCATTCGTTACACACACACACACACACACACACACACACACACACACACACACACACACATCCTGCCTTTTATAGATAGAGATTCTGAGTATATGCGGTTTTGCTCTTCATGTAGCGACAAAAGGGAATAAACTTAGGCTACGTCGGAGGCAGGCCCTGGGTAAAGGAGCTACCATAGTCAGGCATGAACTCAAACAAAAGTACGGTATCTATATCTTCGTATCAAAAGTTTTACGGTAAGTGTTTTTTCTCATCATTTTGGGGTAGCTTTGTACAAAAAAAGAATGAAGACCATTTATTTGCTGCCCAGTATTTGCAATTTGCTCAAAAGCTTAGGTTGCATTATACACGAGTAATATGAAAGAAATTCAAGTTTTTCACAAAGACATTAATGGGTCGCGTTATACAGAAAGTAGACTTATACACGAATATATACGGCATGTTTAAGTTCTTTTTGTCATTACTCAATCGAATGTGAACCTGGAATGTTTCCTTCAAAGCCTTTTGGATTTCTTTGCAGTGAATTGTGTCGATCGCCACGCTGAGAAGACACCGCACAAAGTCGCTCTTATATGGGAAAAAGATGAGCCGGGAATGCATGAATTTGTAACCTATAGGTAAGTGTGCCGACAGATATTTACCGAGCAGGGTCACATTTGTCACAGACACAAATGAAGCGGAGAAACTATGATCCACCATTCAGGTAAGTCTTACCTGCCCGCCTTAAAAATCAGTATTCGTAACTCTATTCACTACACGCGTTCGAATACTAACAACGGACACCAACTGGACGGATGTACCAATATACATTCTACCTTGAACCCCTGCCGTGCTAAATTTTAGTGTAGTGCTAAATTTTAGTGCAGTGCTAAATTTTATAAAAAATAGACATGGGATTCTGTAGCTAGGGCTGGTTTTTTTTTTCTGTTTTTACGGCATTTTTAATAGGAAATCCAACATTTCTTTTCGATACAAATTCTTATATCAATCCGTGTATATGACGAAACACTTAACATATTTTCCAGCTATTATGTAATAAACATTCATAATACATTATAACAACATTATTAAATCAATTTAAATATCCGCAAAGCAACATATATTTCTAGAATTCACTACACTGTATTAGAACTTGTTTTATAAACAACTACTTGAAAGGTGAAGAGATGAAATGTGTCACATGACTTGATGGAAAATAAATAAATAGATGTTCACTGGTTTAAGGCTTTTACGTATTTTGAAATAAATGTGAGAAAGAAACAAGTATATATATATAATAAAAAGTATACTTATTATTTTTAAGCTAATCCTCCTAATTTCTATACATTGTTTTAACCATGATGCCAAGTGGAACAATAAACCTTCTTTTCCCGTCTTTAGTATTAATTATTAGTTTTGTATTCAAAGTACGTTTTATGGAAGAAATTTCTCTTTTGAGTAAAAAGTAAAAAATATATCTATTGATATCGTAAAATAATTTATTTTCATGTTTTAAATCAGGATATATTTGCATTCTGGTTGCTTTTCATTCGTTTTCGAGCAGGAAAAAATGGTATTTTTACTATAAATATGTATCGTTGGTCATTTTATTCTAAACTAGCCTAGAAGCCGTCTTTCAGGCGGACTTCAGGCTAGTTTTTGGGGTGGGTTTCTGGACTTTTGGCCTTTTACCTTCAGCATACTATGTATGTAAAATTTATAAGAATTTAGAGCTAATAAAATTATTTTATCTTTATTCAACACCTTAATTCGACATAACCTTTCTTCGTATACGCAACCGAACTCCGTAGTATGGTTATTTAATTTACGTGCAATTTTTTTTTTATTATTTTCTTTTAAAATTACCGTTCTTTATTACCCTTTCACATAAATTTACCCTTAAAAGATATCAGGGAACCCAAACTATGTAATATTTCGAATACTTCACAGTACGCGTGCTAGAAAAAGCAAAACACATATGAGCAACGTACCGTGCCCCGCTTGCACATTTACAAATCTACCATTCGTCCGTGCTTTGAATACTGCTGCCATATCTGGTCTGGTGCTCCTGCTGTACATCTCGAAATTCTTGACAAAACCCAAAGAAAGATCTGTAATGTAATCAATCCTGACCTGGCATCTCGTCTTCAGTCATTTTCTAACCGATTTCACGTGGTTTCCCTCTGTCTTTTCTACAAATATTTCCATAGCAACTGCTCTAACGAGCATTTTTACCTTGTGTGCATACACGAATTTAAGTGTGCCTCAAGTCTCTCCTTCATCTGTGAGGTTTGGTTTGGTTTGGTTTAGTTTGTTTTATGGCATATCAACTTCAATGGGTTATTTAATGCCGACAATTTTTATTGCTGGTAATATGTTTTTCTTCAAAAATCTATTTCTGGGAATATTTTTCCTTGAAGAAATCTATAGCTGGTAATATTTTTTCAAAGAATGTATAGCTGTTTGTATTGCTAGTACTTTTTTTTAAAGTATTGCTGATAATAATTTTTCCTTCAAAAATTATTGCTGGTAATATATTTTTTATTACAAAGCATTTCTAGCCTTAAAACCTATTTTTACACAAATTTGGGTGTCAACTATTTGACCATAGCTGGGACCCTAACAGGTGCTACCACACAGGTCAGGGTGGACCTGGGAACGCTAGCAATTAAGATGTGGTTCCACGCTCCTCAAAACCTCCTGATCAGAGGCCTTGCTGTTGGATGTAGTTTATCGTCTTACCCATGACGCTCATCTGTGAGGAGATTATCCAGCATTCATTGCTATATAGGAGGACTGATATTATATAACAATTCAGTATTTTTTCTTTGTTTCTAACGACATTTTCCTGATTCTTAATTATTTTTCTTAGGCTTTTGAAAAGCATCTTCCGCTGTCCCAATGTGCCTTCGGATTTCAGTGTCGCATTTTCCGTTCTCTATCAAAAAACTTCCCAGATAGTTAAATTGTTCACAGTAGCAAAGTACAATAGAATCAAATGATTGAACCAAAAACATAAAATCCATCAAAAGATTCATTGGGGCTTCTCCTGCTATGTTTAACGTTTTAATCACCTCGTCATAGAATGGGTTCCCGTTCGATTTTCAAAGTGTGGGTCCCGACCCTTTAGTGGGTCGCGAGATAAATAAAATGGGTCGCGACAAAAAAGAAAAAAAAATACGCAAATAACAGCTAAGTGCAGAATATAAACAATTCTAAATGCTACACAGCACTCATAAATCTGACCCGGAATAATTAGCTCTTATCCATTTTCCAAGTATAAAGGATCATTTTGCATGACACCATTGCAGTACAATTCTAAATCTGGTCTGCTGGATTATACCACTGACCATTTCAAACACCCTGCTGCCGATGTCTTCGCCGTAACCTAGTCCTGGGTAACTTCCTAGTTCTACGCCTTGCCAAAGGACAACCTGTTCTTAAGCCTTTGAATTCACAGTTGTCCTTCTTCTAGACTGGGTACCCAGAGAGCCCAATCTGCTATATTATTTAACCCATAGGCATCTCGTCTGCAGTCGCTCTGTCACAGACGTGCCGTCACCTCCTTCTGTATACTAACAGGGAAACTGCTCCGATGAGCTGCTTTCGCTGGTTCCCAGACTTCATGAATTTAAGCGTTCTACTAGGCTGGCATCTCGCTCTCACACTTTCACTGTCTAAACTGTTAAATATAGCCGTCTCTTCTACTATAATGGCTTCATGTCTCGCACTTCTCTCCTGTGGAACTCCCTCCCATTTTTCTGCTTCTCTGATAGCTGTAATCTCCAATTATTCAAATGTAATGTCAATCGACGTCTCCAGATGCCTTGATCTATCCCCTATTCTTCTCTTCATCCTTTCCTCTATCACTCCTATTTGCTCTCGCTCCAACTCTCTGTAACCCTTTGCGTGCTAGTGGCTTCCCGCCTCGCATGGGGTGAAACGCTTAAAAAAAAAAGCTGGAAAATAAATAAACTTATCTTTTTTTTAATCACCTCATATCAGGTAAGGCCCACTGGATGTGAAAGTTGATGTCACTAAGACGCAAGGGACTACTGGATGTGAAAGAGATTGAAAAGACGTTGAAAGAAATCGGAAACCCAATCCTAAACAGAATATAAGGAACAAACCTCTACTCCTGTTCAAAAGAACGGGGCGAAGACCGGACGATAAGCGAACCTATCTACTTTTATTACGGAAAAATAATAAATAGTAAATAAAGTTTCAGAACTTAGGAGGAGATGTTAGACGTATAGAGAGTTAAAGTAGACATTACAAAGAACCTAATCAGAAAACAAGGGATAAACCTCTACTCCTGTTCACAAGACCTGGGTGGAGTATGAACCGGACGATAGGCGAACCTATTATCTCCTATCGAAGCAAAAAGTAAATAGTAAATAAAGTTTCAAAGTTTACGCGGAGATGTTAGAAGTGTAAAAGGTTCAAGCAGGCTGTAGAATGAACCGGAAATCGAATCCTAAACAGGAAACAAGGATTAAACCTCTATTCATATTGAAAAGACTAGGGACGAGTGTGCAGCAGACGATAGGTGAACCTGTCTTCTCCTATAACGGAACCAACAGACTTCTTGATTTTCTCACCAAAGCGATATGTTAGTTTTGATCACACCAACGCAAAGTGGAATCCAGACCACGTCTGCATGAGGAAACAGGTCAATACGTTCACAGGCTGTCAGTAATACTGTGTCATTTAACATAAGGTTTATTTTCTTAAAGATATCACTGTGTCCAACATTAAAAACTCCGGTCTAATCGAATATAAAAAGAAAAGATGATCATTGTTTCTCTTTAAAAAGAAAAAAAATCCTCTCCATTGTTGTCCTGTGCCAACACTCAGGGGAGCAAAAATATTAAATCGCCACCTCTTTCATGTCAGCTTCAACGTTCAATAATCTTCTTAATCCATTTTTATTATTTTCTAGATCCTTCTTTCTCTTTTCTTGTCATTGAATAAAAATATTCGAACTCTTTTCTTTTAATTCCTGCTTTTACACTCCTTGAGTGTAACTGGTTGGTTGATTTTGTTTAGCAGCATAACAATAGCACTATGGGTAATTTAATGACGGAATCTAAATAATTTGAATACAGTTTTATGGCTTCAACTAAATATATTTTGAACACAATTATATGCCGTCAACTAAAGATAAACTGTATTGTTGGTAATTTTTCTCTAAAATGTATTGTTGGTCATTTTGGTTTAAAATATATTGTTGGTCATTTTGTCCTAAAATGTATTGCTGGTCATTTTGCTCTAAAATGTCTTGTTTGCAATTTCGACAAGAACAGAAGCTGTCCCTTTTCTTTACTAATATTTCTCGATAAATGTAATAAACCCTTTTAATAAATAAAAATGGGGCGTCTATTTCAATAACGAAGTATCCACTATAATAACGTTTGCATATATATATATAGAGAGAAAAATATATAAGAAAAAAAACTCTTGAAAATAGAATTTGATCCTGGAACGCTGCAAAACGCAGTAAAACGAACAGCGAGAAAAATATTTGGAATTTACGGAACTGCGTATACACCTCCACAGACAATTTAAGCTTTGAAGATGGTCTCAGATTGAAATTACTTGAGAAAATAAAAATTACTTGAAAGAAAATGTTGGTATTTTTCTTAATCAATTTTCTACGGCCACCAAGAAATTAATTCGTGAACTCACAGGATTAAATCTACAATAAATAGGTATATTACGTCTAAATTGTTTAACCAAACCTGGTTGATATATATATATATATATATATATATATATATATATATATATATATATATATACCATCAGGTAAGATGAGAACAAATAGAGTATAATTCCAGCGTTCGTAATATTTAATTTAAAAGAGGGCTCAATACAAAGTAGAGCAATATTATTTATTTTAGGATATTACATCGAAAATATATCAAAATCGCTACTCAATTGCAGTGGTGTTTCGATGCTTATCAAATGCATCTCATCAGGTGATTGTAAATTAGTAGCGAGTGACGATTTATTTAGATTTAAAAGCAAAATACAAACTCTTTATGAAAAACGAAAAAACGGTCTACATTAAAAACTCCGGTCTAATCGAATATAAAAAGAAAAGATGATCATTGTTTCTCTTTAAAAAGAAAAAAAAATCCTCTCCATTGTTGTCCTGTGCCAACACTCAGAGGATCAAAAACATTAAATCGTCACCCCTTAGAAAAGTGGCTTATACTCTGATTAACCAATCAATTTTAATATGACCTACGTTACATTGCAACTAAGCCAAGAAGTGAAAATTAAAAAAATCTTTTATAAGATTGGTTGATCAGAGTAAAGCCCACAAACATTATAACTACCCCGTTTCTTCTTTTTGCGTAAGAAGACGCTGTATTTTGCTTTAAAATCTAAATAAATCGTTCACTCGGCATTTATTTACAATCCCCTGATGAGATGCATTGATACGCATCGAAACACGACTGCAACTGTGTAGCGATTTTGACATGTTATGGATGTAATATCCTAACACACACACACACACACACACACACACACACACACACACACACACATATATATATATATATATATATATATATATATATATATATATATATATATATAAATTATTTTAATAAAACTGACCACTTTAAGGTTCCGTGTAATAAATTATTTCACCACAGCCCATTTAAAGGACTGCGGATCATCAGACTTTACTTCGAAACAAAAAATGAAAAGAAAATTTACACATTTTTTATGTTTAATACGGCCCGTCAAAAATGTGTAAATTTTCTTTTCATTTTTTGTTTGGAAGTAAAGTCTGTTTTTATTTAAATTATTTGCTCTGAATTTACATTGAGCTCTCTGGATTTTATCCTCCTTAGGTTTACCCATGCGGATTACCTAGCCTTTCAGAAACTATATTATATATATATATATATATATATATATATATATATATATATATATATATGTGTGTGTGTGTGTGTGTGTGTGTGTGTGTGTGTGTGTGTGTGTGTGTGTGTGTGTGCAATCTTTCTTTCAAACATGTTTCGTTCAATATGAAAGACAAGGAATATACATTTGATGAATTTTCTTTTTTTTTTATATATATATTATCCTTAATCTTTTCGTTTGGTTGGGGTAAGGATATGTAAAAATTGTCCGTAGTGTCTATTGTCCCAAGCATTTTCGGCTATTTTCAAGCTATTTTTTATTAATAACGTAACGTTTATTCAGATGTGGTGGCAATATCTAAAGCATGAGCGAATGGTAGACTTATAAGTTAGCAGCAAATTGTAGGTCATTTTTGAGATCAGCTGCCAATTTGAACTGATGGGACTGAAAACGCTTAGTAGGAGGACAGATATTTAATAACAGTCTTGTACTGTTTTTCCTATTTCTTAATACTTTGCTGAAGTAAACCACGTCAACACACATACACACACACAAGCATACACACAAAAAGACACACATAAACACACACACGTACAAAAACGACTAAGCATGTGAATGTTTACTTTTCCCCTCTCCTAAGTCTATATTTTCTTATTTATACATATATATATATATAAAAGTAAAAATAATTTTTCTTCTTGCAATCTATGTTATTTCTCTCTCTCTCTCTCTCTCTCTCTCTCTCTCATATCCGGACTTTGTAACCAATTCCTCCTATCCGGAAGGCCTTCTTAGTCTGGTTGTCAGGGATTCTACTTTGACACTCAGAGCAGAAAGAGGGAGAAAAGAAGAAAAGGGAATAGTATGTGAATATAAGTACGCAAGGAAATTATGTAAAGAAGAAATGATTACGAAATTTTAAACATGTGCCCATACACACGCGTACAGGGGTACACACACACACACAGAGAGAAAAAAAATCAACATATTTTTTAAAACTTGATAAAGAAAAAACAAAATGAGAAAATCAGCAGACAATTGCTGATACCTCCTGACGATTGGACCGAAAAATTACAAAAAGGTTCGTCTACGAAACTCTGAAGTCGGAGTGCTGAATATAACATCAACCAGCTAAGTGAGAAATTTTATAATTGTATTAAAAAAACCTTTGTGGATAGATATATATATATATATATATATATATATATATATATATATATATAAAAAATATATATAAAATAGGAAGGAAATGGTTAGGTAAATAATCCAAAGTTCCTTAGTATTTTAGTTATTATTTTTAAAAAATAGTGCTCGATACAAAAGTAGAGCATGAATATAATAATTTATTTAAAAATATGATTCCAACTCGCGACATAAGAGGTCTCATGTGCGAGTTGGAATCATATTTTTAAATAAATAATTATATATATATATATATATATATATATATATAGGTGATTAGAATTTCGAACTGAAGCCTTTATTTCGTCCATCGGGGTAGTTTGTTCTAGTTCCTCATGTCACTTCCGGATGTTTCAGTTATCTCCCTTTAACTCAACTCCCCAAATTTTTGCTCATTACTGTAGTAGCTAGGTATTAAATTCATAACTCTTTGGGTCAAGACACTGGATCCCACCAACGTTTTTATCCACTGGGCCATGTGTACCTCATCTCAGAAACATAGATATACAAGCTATTTTTGCCCCAGTTCGCATATATAGGGCTGTTTTTGTTGTTGTTTTGGGGGTGTTTTTTTTTGTTTTTTGGTTTTTTTTTTTTTTTTTTTTTAATCGGCTGCCAAAAATGTAAATGGTTGTGTCATTATCAGCATAGATACCAAGCTGATAACTGATGCCACCAAGAAGGTCCTTTCATACTTTCTTCTTTCTTTTTTAATTTTCTTCTTCATTTTCCAGACAGCTCCAAGAGATGGTCAATCAATTCGCTAATATGCTTCGAGCAAACAATGTCCGGAAAGGTGATCGCGTGGCCCTTTATCTACCAATGTGCCCGACGGTCGTGGTCGCCATGTTGGCATGCGCCCGAATTGGTGCCATGCACAGCGTGATATTCGCTGGGTTCAGTGCCGAGGCATTAACAGGAAGAATCCAAGATGGTAAGTATTACAGAATTGATTGTTTGTTCAACGGCACATTAATTCCTTATGGGTCATTTAATGTGGAAATTTAATTTTCTTGGTAGCTTTGAAGTAATTAAAATATGATATATGTTATTCTGCTTTCACAAGTGAATACATGGTAGATGATACTCAGATTTTGTGCATATAAATATTTGTGTGGACATGTTTACTAAAAGCGGTGATATGAGTGTTTTATGTTCTAGCTTAGTTGAACTTATATTTTGGAATAAATTTTGATTTCTTTAAAAATTATAAGATATGGACTAATGTCATAAAAGTGTTCTTTCATGTTAGTTGTTTGGTTGGACGATTTTGTTTAGAGGCATATATACAGGTTTTTTAATGGTGAAATCTAGATATTTTGAACGCAATTGTTTGCCTTCAACTACAGATAAAGTGTATCGTTGGTAATTTTGCTAAAAAATGTATTGTTGGTAACTTTACCATAAATATAGTAAATTTTTTCATATATAATGTATGTCTGTTATTTTTTGCAACTTTCACAGTGTTGTGTTTTTGTTTGGGGGGTCACTATTTGCCCATAGATGGAACCCTAACAGGTACTACCACCCTGGGTCAGCGTGGACCTGTGAATGACAACAATTAACAGTTGGTTCCATGCTCCTCAAAACTTCCAATCTCCGGATCAGAGGCCTTGCTGCCGGATGTAATATTTCGTCATGCCCAAGACTAGGTATTACAGAAATCCTCGACTCTTCTTTACACCGGCGCATATTAGTGGCGGTGGCCTGTTGCTTAGTTTCCGAATTCCGATCGCAATTTCAAAAACTTCCCACAATTTTTTTGTCTTTAAAATCTTTGAATTTTACTTAGTTGATTATATAGAATAAATTTCGAAGCCTCGCACATAACTGGAAGTAAATCAGCGACAGGCATTTTCTAACATAACACGTCAGCATAAACCAAAAAATATTTAAACTCGTATTTGCTCTGAGCTAACAAAGCATCAAAGACTTGGAGATAAGTATGTATGTGCATGTATGTTGCATTACATCATCTTTTATACATATTTTATTGCCTGTTGTATGGATTTAACATATAGCCTTTTGCATGTATTTAGCATATTGTCTTTTGTACGTATCATATTGTCTTATTGTATATTGTAATTTTGAAGGAGTTAATGAATTTTTATTCGTTATTTCTTATTACTGTATATGTTTTATTTAGTGGATACACATGCTTGAATAGACGTTTCTGTTTTTAAACAGTATACTTTCGTCTTCCAGGCTGATATTTTTCTTTAGAAAATGTGCTCTACGACATGATTCGAATCTGCACCTCCTTTATGTAGAGGAAAACACCGTATAGTACGGCGTGCTTTCAAACAAACACGCCCAGGACTTAAAGGCAAAGTAAGATAGAATTTATACTTATGCGGGAAAGCACAACTCTCCTTAAGATCTTTCGAGGCCCATACCAGCTAACTTTTATTTTCATAGTCGAAACGAGAAATGTGTATTTTTGAAACAGGGTAATTGTGCGTTTCTTTGCTGTGATCGCTACCCGTGGTACAATGGGTAAAGCGGACATGTGTTGAAAGTGGTTTCTCGGATTAAAAGAGAATAGAGGTTCGATTGCTGTCAGGAATTACGTTTTCTTTTAGAAGACTTTCGATGTCTCGACCGGTAGGCATTAATTTGACTATCTAAAAAAAATGGTGGGGAGGATAATGTCTTTTCAAACACACGATGTTTTTGCAATAAGAATCATTACTGTATCAATGATTTACTGGGAAACAATTATCTCGGTTGTATATTTTGTTTTCTTTTCACCCCTAAAAAGGGCAATAAAACCACCAAGCCGTAAGGAGTTATAGAACCTGTAAGAGAAGGAGAGGAATATTAAGGAGAGAGAACAATAAAAGAACGAGAATTAAGAAGTCAAGATATCGATTGGAATTGCATTTAAATTTTTGAAGATCCAGTTATTGTTTGTTTTTGGTTTGTTTTGTTTTACGGCATATCAACTTCAATGGGTCATTTAATGCCAACAACTTTTGTTTCCTGCTAATATTTTTGTTTAGTTAAAAATATATTTCTGTTAATATTTTTTTCCTCAAAAATGCATAGCTGGTAATATTATTATTTTCAAAAACGTATAGCTGGTAATGTTATTTTTTCAAAAACTTATAGCCTGCAACACTATTCTTTCAAAAAAAAAAACGTATAGCTGGTAATATTTTATTCAAAAACATATGGCTGGCAACATTATTTTTTCAAAAACGTATTATCAGAGACCTTGTCATTGGACGTAGTTTATAGTCTTACCCTGGGCGCGGATGTAGTTTATCGTCTTACCCAGGACGCGGATGTAGTTTATCATCATACCCTGGAAGCGGATGTAGTTTATCGTCTTACCCAGGACGCGGATGTAGTTTATCATCATACACAGGACACTCCAGTTACTGTATTCGGATTTAACTGACTTTCACAATTGACATATATTGTCCAATTTTCTTCCTATTTTATTCTCTTGTCACCATTTTGGCGCATCAATTAAGTGAGTCGTTTCATTTCAGCTCAGGCAAATACAGTGATCACAGCTGATCAAGGTGTGAGAGGAGGCAAAAAAATCGAACTAAAAAAAATTGTCGACGATGCTGTAGCCAAATGTCCATCTGTACAGCAAGTTTTCGTTTACAAACGGACGGGAGCTGATGTTCCAATGGGTCCCAAGGATATTCCACTCGACCAGGTCAGTTATGTACTTTTTTTTAACTCGTTTTCCAGTCCCGCCTTTTGAAATTATCCTATGCCGTCGGGAAGAAGCACTGCTATGGGTTTTTTTTAGATCATTCGTTTGGTCTCGAAAAGACAGAGAGAAAAATATCACAAGATCAAGTAATCACATGAGGCGAGAGCAAGAACTAAAAGGTCAGCCAATCTAACAGTGATCTCATCTCACAATCATCACTCTTGTTCCATTTGTGGCCGCCTTTGTAAATCACTAGCGGGTCTTAAATGGCACTTAAGATTATCGCACAAAATTTCATAATTGAATCAACTAAGCTGTCAGATCATCATACGTGGAAACCGACGGGAGAGTCCATTATTATATATATGAAGTGGAACAGATACAGGTAGATTGCTAAATAATTTAGCAGCCAATGTCATATACAATATGAAGGTATAAAAAAAGGGATGACTAAAGAACAAGCTTAGTAAGTGTATTCAAATCCTATCTTAGACGCATTTTGGTCTGGTCTGCTTTGCCACGAGACGATTTTTATAGAGACGATGTTCTTGAGGTTAGCTTCGTAAAAATCATGTAGAAGACGAATGTAGTCTCTGTTTGCCTGCTTTGTAAAGTCATTTGAAGACGTCTTCTCTGTTCGGAAGCTCGAGATTTACTTGACCTCCTCACCACTATCGTGCTAGTCTGTGACACAAGGTCGGTTTTTAACGTGGGAACCCGAATGTTTCCAATCGGGCCGCTGGTCTTGTCTAAGCTAGTCATTGCCGGACATACTACCGCTACGTAACAGATGTCACGCAACGGTGGCGGGTGAACGCAAGGGAGGAAGGAATGTCTCCTCCCCTGCGAATCCCTCCGACAGAATCCGGAAGGAAAGCCCCTTCTTTTCGGAAGCTCTTGGCTATCTCCTCGTTTTGCGCCAATTTTTCAAAAAGCGCGCCGAAAGATGGACCATACTCATTATAGTAATCTTTAATGGACTCCTTTGGGAGTCAATGTAACTAAGGGAAGATAACTCATATTTTCTATACTACGTCCTTCTATGTGAAAGTTTGGTTTGGTTTACTGCATATCAACCTCAATGGGTTATTTAATGCCGACAAAATTTTTATTTCTAGTAATATTTTTTCTTCAAAAATGTATAGCTGGTAATATCTTTTTTTGAAAAATGTATTGTTGGTAATAATTTTTTTACAAGTTATTTCTGGTATTAAAACCTATATTTATACTTCCATAGTCTTTTGACCCCAGTTTGGGTGTTAACTATTTACCCATAGTTGGGACCCTAACAGGTGCTACCGCCCCAGGTCAGGGTGGACCTGGAAACACCAGCAATTAAGAGGTGGTTCCACGCTCCTCAAAACCTCCTGATCAGAGGCCTTGCTGTTGGACGTAGTTTATAGTCATACACAGGACGCGAATATAGTTTATCATCTTACCCGGGACCCGGACGTATTTTATCGTCCTACCCAGGACGAGGGCGTATTTTATCGTAATAATCAGGACGCGAATGTAGTTTATCGTCATACCCAGGACGTGTATGTGAAAGTAATTTGACGGCGTATTGGAATAATGAAAGAGTGAAAAAAAGAGTGCTGAATTCATATGTAGTATCAGTCTTCCTGTATGGCAGTGAATGCACTTCAGGATCAAATATCTAACCCATCTTGAGTGTCGTGACATCCATAAGCAAAAGGATGTCTGCATTCTTATACAAGCTTAGAGAAAAGATAGGCGCTGATAAGGCGTGACTAAGCATTTATTGTTATGGTTCAATGCCAACTACCCAGAAATAAACGGTGAGTGAACTCAGGGTGTTTCTTCCAGGTGGGGTTATTGAATAAATTTACTCTTTAGTATTTCAAGATATTTTGGTTTAATTTGGCTAAATCTGATGATATGGTGATATTTTAATTTATTTAAAAAAACTTTAGACAGATATTTATGTCAGCCAGCATATATATACATTTAATTTTGCCTTAACTGGGTATTGAACTCACACTCTTTGATAAAATTAGTGATATTTTAATTTATTTAACAAAACTTAAAAAAACAGAAATCCTATTTAATAAAACGCAGAATACAGAAGCATAACGCTGTATTGCTGTAATCTCGAGTCAGTGTGATACACGCTTAGGCGATCATGTATCTTTCGATACATGACTGACGAGGCAGATTTTTTCCCGCAGCAGGTTGCCATTTCTTTTTACGTTAGACCAGATGCCATCCAAGGCTATAGAACCTGGTCTCTCTTGCTATTTACCCAGAGCTGTGGGAGAAAAAGAGGATTCATGCCTTTCCCAAGGGTATTAGTACATAAGTGAATGTAATGGATTCCACTGGAAAGTCAGTCAGTCATTTATGTGCCATGCATGATACACGCTTAGGCGATCATGTATCTTTCGATACATGACTAACGAGGCAGATTTTTTTCTCGCAGTAAGTTGCCATTTCTTTCTGCGGTAGACCAGTTACCATCTAAGGCTATAGAACCCGGTCTGTCCTGCTATTTACGCATAGCTAGGGGGGAGAAGAAGAGGATTCATACCTTTACCCTTCACGTAAGTGAATGTAATGGATTCGACTGGATTTCGAACTCGGCTCTCCGATTCCTCAATTCGAGCCGCTTATTAATTAGTTCACCGTGCCTCCTCTCAGAAGCATAACTTGCATCAAAATTCTCCTGTACATGATATGAAAACAAATGCCACCCACAAAGCTGCCATCAAGTGGGCCAGGATAATACAAAGTCTTGACGAACCATGCTTTTTCATGGCTCAAGATCAAGTATCCAGAAAAAAAAACTGTGCGCGGACTCGGGGTATTCCTTCTAGTCAGACGACTCCAAAACGTACAAAATATGCTGGTTTTCACCCAGCTCACCTTTTGTTTGCTTCCAGCTTGTATCTGAACACGTTAACATGGTTGGCGGGACGTTTTGCAAAATGTCACCATTGAAACCTCCCACGCCCAACATCGACACCTTCAAGGCTGTCACCCACTTTCTCTCTCTCTATTCTTTGTATCTCGTTCTATATGTTCTAATCCTTACGCTCTCTCAACTCCAGCCATTTTTTCCAGGCACTGAAAGGGATGCCGAAATCTGTGTGCAAGCCAATGGAAATGGATAGCGAAGATCCTTTGTTT